ACATATGCTTTTGTCGTCACTATTTACTTATAAGGAAGGTCCTGTGTTGCAACTAAGGTTGCTTGCCAAAACCTCTCCAAAATCCTGCGATAAATTTCGGCAAGATTTTACTATATGTTTACTATAGTTTCGGCAGGGTTTCGGCAGTTTCGGCAAATGGGGGTTTTGGCATTTCGGCAAAGTTTCGGCAGGATTTTTAATATGATTTAATATAGTTTCAGCATTTTTCGTATAGATTTCGGCAGTTATTAAAAAAGTTTCGGCAAGCAACTTTAGTTGCAACTAAACCTCCTTTCAAGCGAAGCGCCTGTGAAGCAGGCCATTTTTCTCATGTTGGTTTGGGAAAAAATAAAGAACAAAGGTTAATATGTTTTTCTTTTTAGAATATATGAAGATTATTATGTCGCACAGACCTGTCTGGTGATCCACATATTTTCGTCGTACCAATTGGCCAAAGGTGGCTCAGCAATTCTTCCGAGCTGATGATCATTTCTCCGGACTACAGTGCATACAACCTAGTCCCAACAAAAAAATTTTTAAGCGGCCAAATTTTTTATATTATGTAATACTTAATCCTGTAATTTTATTGGTCAGATTTATTTAATTTAAGTTATAATTCTTAATTTTAGCCAGAATTATACATAATTTTAGCCAAATTTACATAGTTAATAATTAAACGAAAGTAATTTTGGCCAGAATTATATGTAATTCTGGTCAGAATAAAATGGCCAAATATTTAATTTAATAGTAAAATATTTCAACTTTGAATTGCTACTACTTTATTAAAAAATACTTTATAGAAAATTTAAAAACATAGTTTAATTAAGCTTAATCTGATTTATCATTGTACGTTTATACTTTATGTTTATCTTTTTTTTTGAATAAATAGTAGTGATTTAAATTTCATCAAATTTAATTGCTGGGACTAAGTTGTATGCACTGTAGCATTAATAGAACTGCCTGGGAAATTAGGATCAGAAAAATCAAACATTTTACTAACATCGCTTTTAAACAATTTTACAAGGTTTTCTAGCCCCTCCAAATTTTTCTCAATTACTTTGGTTAGCTCCTCCAGATCGCTAGGTAAATTATTGGATGAGGAAACATAGCTAAGCTGGCTCGTCTCTGGCTCCTCTTTTTTATCGTTTTCCATTCCTTATCTGCGGAAATTAGTCTAATTATGTATGAAGAAAAAAAATATAACTATTAATTATCACTGGATCAGACTCCTAAATAATTACACAGTTCGGGATAATCAAACACGCCTACCACCCTATCTTGCCTTATATTTTTAACAGTAATAAAGCCAGTTGCCCTATCATATGTGTGTTCATATTTGGCCAGATTACATAATGGTAAATACTGTGTAGGGCTAGTAGTGAACTTTTCTATTATCTTACGACGATTATTCCTCGATTTTCTACCCATTACTAGATAGACCGATGGATTTAATTTTTTCTACAAGCTCGGGTTGGGTTCCTTCTAGGTTTCGCCTTCTTATTGTTAGATTTTACCTTCTTATTCCCAGGTTTTTTAAAGCTGGTAGCTTTCCATGGCTCATAATCTGACTCAGATGAACTGGACTCGGATGAACAATAGAAGGAGGAAAATAATGTATCTAAACGATTATCTATATCATCCAACCTTTCCTCTAGCGCTTTGATTTTTTCAATAACTACTACACTTTCGAGTGATCTCATTTTAGTAATATTTTTATAACTGGATATTATTGTACCAGAAAAAAAAAATATGTATTATATCCTAGAAATACCTGAACTACTTGAAGCTATCTTTGGCTTTCTCAGTCGGAAAGATCTTTATAGAAGTTGTGCCAGAGTAAATCATCAATGGAATGTTGTATCTAAGCATGTTATTCGGAAAAAAAGAAAAGCCGAGTTTATTAGTATTCCCAGCATTCGTGATAATATTCTTTTTCACCTATATGATAATCACGTTAGCCTAGCTAACTTTGTTAACTATTGCAAGGTTAGTGATATATGGAGTAATATTCTTTATCAGTTAAGTGCAAGGACTATTTCTCTTTCTATGTTATATCACCATAAAGCTTTCTTAAATGCTTTTCACTATAGTAGAAGAAGGCAATTTCTTCATAATAAAAATCGATTTATAAGCTATTTTACAAGACGTGATATACAATATCATTTAAAACATGACATAAACTAAACAGGTACTACCAGGATATCTGTTTGCTTTACAAACTAAGGAATGAATTTCTTAGACTGGCCAGAGTCTTCCGTTCCTATGACTATATACCAAATACTGCGGATGAATTTCGTAGGCTAGCCAGAGTTTTTCGGACTATTAGACTTCCTTGAACTATCGATCTACAGCCTGAAAAAAATAACTGATTAATTATCACTGGATTGTATTTCTTTTCCCGAATGAATATGAGAAATAGAGTTGTACATTTTATCTATATCACTTCTTAACATTTTTTCGAAATCTTTGGGTGCCATAGCATTAAATAGATAGTAGATTTCTCGGGCAATTGTTTTAAGATTTTGATGTATTTTAGTTATATCACGTTCCAGCGCAATAATAGACTCTTTGATATTCACAATAGTGTATATCTTTTCTTTTTCCGAATCTGTGTAATATTTTTTAGAAGGCATTTTATATATCTGAAAAAAAACTGAATATTTATCATATCAGGAAAAAAATATAATAATTATGTAAGTGCTATGCGGAAGTCATCACTAGTCTAGCTTATTGCTGGGAGTTGGCTATGTGAGACGTACTTTCATTTTGATATTTCTCTGGGAGTTTGGCCCTCATAGCTCTTTTTTCAGCCTCTTCATAGAGGATACCATCTTTAACCATATTCTTATAAATCATATTGCGCCAATGACTATATGGTAAAGGGGTAATTCCATCTGATAGGAACCAGTTCTTAGTATCTATGGGGCAGAGTGCTTTTTTCTCTGATTCGACCAGAGATAATATGTGGTCCTTTGATCAGATATCTACATTCTTTGCATAGAATACTTCCTTACCAAAGAGACAGTCTTGATAGACTAGAGTCATGGGGTCTACCTCAGTTCGCATAGCTTCTTGTTCCGTTAATGAGGACTTATCTATCGGATCATTAAGCAGAGATCCCTCTAAAGATGGCATGTATGTATCTGTAGCCATCTCATTCATCCCCTTCTTGCTAATCCCTTGTGCTTAGACTTCGTGGACTTATCTGCCAATACATAGTGGTAAGATTTGGCTCAAATATGATAAGATTCTGTGATTACATTACCAGGGGTTTCATCTTTAAATTTGCCAACTGTTTGATCTCCATTAAGATTAAAGAGATCTGGTCACTCATCCATATCTTTATAAACATCTTCAGTCTCAACATGATATATAAAGGAGTCTGTATCCATATAGCCAAGCTGGGATTTATCCCCATATTTTTCCTTCACATATCCATACCAGAATTCGTACATGTGAAGCTTGCTAAGTCCCAAAACAGATGCTTCAACTATGATAGGCTTGTTGAGAGTCACGCTGGCTTTTTCCATATGCGCTCCTATAAGTGTATTTCCAAGTTGCCTAGCATATTTGAATAAGGGCTTGCGGATCTTTTTCAAGAAAGCTTTTTCATCTCGCTCGTTATTATTCTTCATAATCTTGACATCCTGGTACTTGCGAACATTCTCCATAGTATTGCCATATACTGATACATTCATAAGTTTGAAAAAGTCACTCAGGAATGTATTTCCAACTTTTTTAGCCTCATTACGTTTCTCAGTATTAAAAGATATATATGGTTCAAGCCAGTTAGTCTGGTCGAAAAAGAGTATCTCTGAAACTTCATCTACAACCATACCTAATTTTACATAATATTGGAGCTCTTGGTAATGGATAACATAGTTCTTTCGTGGTCCAAGATGGGGAACTAATTTTTCTGTGGCAGAGAAGCGTCCACCATCTAATTGTTCTACAAGTTTAGCATTATATGGACATAACCAATCCTTTTCTACAGTGACATTTTCCACGGCTGGAGGCAGGTCGCTTAAATAATCATGGGTCTTTAGAGGGAAGTGAGAGTTAATATTTAAGTAACATCTTCGTTTTGCATCTGGCTTGATCCTAAGAGCCATGTCGAGGAGTTTCTTTTGCATAGCCAGGTTCTCGAGTAAATATCCCCTGCTGGCTTCCCATTTATAATTTCCGATAGGCAAATATTGGCTCATAGAATGTCCATAAAGATTTGTTGCGTCTACATATGAGATCCAGGATGTGGGTTTGGATGGGTCATAGGCTTCTCCCATCTTGGGATTATTAGCCTTAAAATATCGCTTACAAGCCTTAGATATACCACCACGTTTAGCTTTTTCGGTAAAATCATGCATGGCCATATCTGTGAAAAGTTCTATCCTAACTCCTGTCATCTTAAGCATTCCATCCCAGGATAGTGATGGGGCAGAAACATAGTGACTGGGATCAAGTTCATAATATTCCATAGACATTTTTCGAAACTCTGTCCAGACATCTGCTAGACTAAGTACGTCGGTCTTAAGATAGAGATCATGGTATTCACCTAAATTTTGACATCTGAATTCCTTCCATACTTTTTGGGCGTGTTGGTAGTCATCTTATGAGATCTTACCTTTAAGAGTACTATGAAATTCATGAATAGGAGGAAGTTCTGTCTCCTTAAATCTATCATGCGAATCGATGTAGTCATAGGGATTAACTCCTTTATAATATACTAATGCTAATTGTTCCTCTGTATAACATAATTTTTTGAAATATTGGCTTGTTATAGGGTGATTATAACCCAAATTTTTTGTAAGACTGGCCAAGCTACTATTCATGAACTGCATGCTATCAATATACTTGAGCTGGCCAACCTTCATAGACTTATACCGCTCAAATGTTTCAGCTATAACCCTGATATGTTGTGCATTAGCTGAACGTCCAACAGATTCACAGACCAAGTGAGAGTCATAGACTCGGAAGTTATGAAAGATGACTGGGATCGGTGTTTTCCAATCCTGTATCTGGAGTTTGAGATTGCAATCCCTATGGGCTGATCCACGAAACTTACCTGTGATATGGCAGTGATTCCAGACCTTATTAGCCTTAGCTTTTTCGCTGGCAATTGCCTTGGTTGCTTTTTCTATGATTGTTTGGATACCATTATATTCTGCTGTCACTTTTTTAAAGCTTTTTAGTTTTTCTTTAAGATAGGTTATTTTGGCTTCTAAGTGCTCAATTTCATCTGTATCTATATCAAACTTACTTTTGCAAATCCAACAGCTAATATCATCTGCATATCTTTTCTTGTCTTCCTCAGTCTCAATTCGCTCATGCTTGATAGCTAGGACCTCATTGATTTTGACCAGTTCCTGATCAATTCTTCGAACAAATTCCTGTGTGGCATTTTCTCCCCTGTATAGAAACGGACTCCATACATCTTCGGTATCGATCCAGTGAACTAGGTAGCAGAAACTATTAGCCTTCTGTTCGGCAAGTTTTCGCATGCTTCCACCATATGCTTCATCACACTTCTTATTGTCAGCCTCGAAATCGGCTATAATAACACATGGAGCATTGATCATTTGGCCATAGTTCTTGAACTCCTCGAAATCATTTACCCCTTTCACTGGCATTGTGACTCTCTGGGGTGCATTTTCGTGTATTCTGGGACACCATTCTATATGATGTTCTAGAGCTTTTTCAGAGGCCAGCTTTGGGTGCATCCATCACATAGATACTTCTTTTCTTTATGCGCACTATCCCCATATATTAATCTACTGGAATTCTTGATCCAGAGAAAGTGGTTCTTTTGCCCGTACTTGTCATCCTCAGATTTGGTTATATCTGTAAAAGCTAATAGTAAAATTTTATGTTGTCTTTTAAAGTTTTTACTAGCAATTACAGGCTTTAGTGTAGCTGTTTCTTCTTTCCATTCCCAGACACTGATGGAGATATCTGGATTCATCTCCTCAATCTTATCGAATATACGTGAACAGATTGGAGTAGGCATTGGAATACCATCTAGCTTGACCTTTTCTAGATATAGTTTTAGATTTTTAGCTAAGAAGATTCGTTCAAGATGGTCTGTATCAGGCTTATCCTGATGTGCGAAATAGCAACCTAAAGCCCCTTGGAGACATTTTTCAGAAGGCCTATTCGTTTCTGGATCAATGAGACCTTGATTATCTGGATTGATGGTAGACTTAGTATTGGCTAATTTTTTGGGGGTTGGTTTGTGAGATCCTCCTGTGCCTTGACGGAGGGTATATGCCTCAATAGATATTTCTTCAATTCATTCGAGGGTATATCCAGATCCCTTTAGTAATGCTTCTTCAACCTGTTTATCTATTTTCCCAACAGTTAGAGTTATATGCTCATCTATATCCCCCTCTAAAAGAATTGGTCGCATCTCACCTCTATGATATTTTACTTTATAGACTTTATTTGCGAAATCTTCACTATCTTCTCTTTCTTCTTTATCTTTTTTAGTAAGTAAATACAAGCATTTTACTACTATAGCTGATTTTATTTGATCTTTCCTATGGAGCTCTGTTTGAAGAACTTCTTTTATTTTTGCTCGAAATGCTGATATAAGTTGGGGTATATATGGAGCCTCTGCATATTCATGTCCAAATACTGGAACATTAAAAGCATATGCTGGATTTTCTTCTGGATGAGGAACTATACCCACCCACTTGCTCATTAAAGATCAGTTTTGATGTGATCTTTCTAGATCCCTACCAACAGGGCATTCTTCAAAGTGGATGTCCACTACTGCCGTGATAGGGACTACTATCTTTCTTTCCTTTTTTCTGTTAGCTTGGGTTGCTGGGCCTGGTCCTGCTTCAGGATCCTCTGCCCTTTGGTCTTCGTTCTGTTGGGTGGGATGTTGTTCTGGCTTGGTCGAAGGAGTTGAAGCATGAACATTTTCAAAAGACTCATCATCTGCTTGTAATAGCTCATGATGTAGACGCTGACAATCTTTTATAGTTAGTGGTAAATTGCATTCTTCACCAGTTACTTCAAACCATCACACGTCAAATGATCAAAAATAGGCAAAAAAATGGCGCAAATCGCATAAACTATTCGCAAATTTGTATAAACTATTTACAAATAGTATAGGTTAATTTGTAAATAGCCAAAAACAGCCAAGAATAGCCAAGAATAGCCAAGAATAGCCAAGAATAGCTACTGCTTTTCACGCCATTTTTTTTGCCAATTTTTAGCATTTCGACCTGTGCATCTTTGGCGTAATCTTGCACCCCATGTTCTCAAATGCTCTCCAGACTTTCTTGCGTGCCTATCAATATATTTATCCCCTTGATTTTGTCCAGATGGTGGTGCTAGCTCTGGTTCAGGAGTTGGGGGTATGGCTTTGGGTTTTTCCATTCGGCGGTCCCTTCCCCAGGTATGAACTATTGGAGCTGGGCTTAGTGATCGAGGTCTGGGTATATTAGCCTTCTTTTGTCCTTCTTTTTGACTAGAAATTTCTGGAGGTGGACTACATTGATTTTTTTTACTTTGATAATGTTGACGAAGTTTAGCTGGTCTTGTAAATTTATATCCACAGCAAACACATGTAGTATCTTTTTTATCTGATCTAGGCATGTTATCAATAAGTCTCACCTGTTATATATTGTGTAAACTTTTTCTCAATTTAAAATATTTAATCCTATATCCCCTAATGTTTAATTACCTTTTTATATTTTCGAATTTATGAGAAAATAGGGGCTAAGATGCGTCAGCCATGCTCTGCTTGTAGAAGACCTACAAAGTTAGTTAAACCTACAGGGGTAGATAATGGCCTATGTAGCTATTGTAATAAGAGCAATTATCAGATCTGACATGTGAATATGCTTCGGAATAAAACCCAGATGTTCGATCTGTATACTTCTGAGATGAGACTTAGAGGTGAGACTTAAATATGCCCGCCCTAGAGGTGAGACTTATTTTTTTTCGCCTAGAGGGTAGACTTAAATATGTTCGCCTCTAGTGGTAGGACTTTGAGGTGAAACATATTTGCCTCATATTAGCATACATTAGAATAGGGTAGCATATAGGTCGGGAATAATAGCATCCATATTCACTTTGCCCTAAAGGGCTTTGCTCATATTCCTGCTATTATTCCCTCCCGTCGAATGCGTATTCATAGGCGTCACCCTAAAGGGCTTTGCCTACTCATACTTATTCTCCTATATCGAACGCGCATTCGTCATCGCTTTGCTCCTCCTCATGCTTGTTCTCTCTTGCTACCTATGTAGTATGCTATTGGGAGGCTATAAGCAATCTTGTATGTCTCCAGTTATGCCTCATATAATAGCATACATTAAATAAGGTAGCATATGGGTCGGGGTTAATAGCATCCATATTCGCTTCACCCTAAAGGGCTTTGCTCATATTCCTGCTATTATCCCCTCCCGTCGAATGTGTATTCATAGACGTCACCCTAAAGGGCTTTGCCTACTCATACTTATTCTCCTATATCGAACGCGCATTCGTCGTTGCTCTGCTCCTCCTCATGCTTGTTCTCTCTTGCTACCTATGTGGTATGCTATTGGGAGGCAATTTGTATATCATTTCTTGCGTACATACTCCACTTTGCTCCGCAGACTTCGTGAACATTATGTTCGCCCTAGAGGTGAAACTTAAAGGTGAGACTTATTTTTTTCGCCTAGAGGTTAGACTTAAAGGTGAGACTTAGAGGTGAGGCTTAGAGGTGAGACTTAGAGGTGAGACTTAGAGGTGAGACTTAAATATGCCCGCCCTAGAGGTGAGACTTAGAGGTAAGATTTTGAGGTTGATATGCTAGAATATGCTTATTAATTTTTTAATCAAGAATTTGGCATCCGAACAGGATAAATCTCACCTCTTTGAGGTGAGACTTATCCTGAATATGTTTACAGCAATGAATCAACATTAAAATTAATTCTAGGATAACATAAAACTTTGGTATGCAAAATGAGCTTGCAAACTCGACCACCGAGTACACTCAGACACTTCGGTCCTCGGTACTCGGTGGTCTCCTTATAGGCAAGCAGTATGGCATACTTTTTTCGTTATATTATTTAGGATTAAAAAAAGGCCAGCGCGTTAACAAAGATGGTATTCTCCTTTATCTTGAAAACAAAAAATTTGGGTAAGGGATATATGTTAACAGGATTTGAGCCCAGCACGATTTTAAAATTGTATTCAATATTAGATTTTTGATATGTTTTCTGATGATGAAGAGCGGATTGGGGTTCAATAAGATTACAGATTTTTTTTTGTATATCAGGAAAACAACTGGGAGACTATAGGAGATCACCGGCATATATGGGGATTCTGTCCCAGAACCCCCATATATGCCTATATATAAAATACTATCATATGGGCCAATTTGATGTATTAAGTAGTAAATTTGTTATTTATTAAAATTTTTGTTAAAAAATTTCAACGAAGTATTTTTTTTTTATATAACAATAATGGTAAAGAGTAACAAATTTACTTTAGTTACAAAATTATCATTTTTGGCAAAATAGTATAAAATTATAATAATAATTATCTATTGTCTTCTCAAAAACTTGTTATCTACCTGTTGAATATGCTGTAATTTTGGCAAAAATACCATAATTTTTATCCAAATTTCCCTTAAAATATCCAATAATGTTGGCCAAATCCATTTTATATATTGAATCAGCCCATATGATATCTGTGATATTACTTGTAGCTCAAATTCAGCATAAATAGTATGGTATGATGATCATCTTGCCAAAACCCAAATGTCTAGAATTTGTGCAATTTTTTCCAGACATTTTCCAGACATTTTCTGAACACATTTTTTATAGGATAGACTCAAGTACATAATAGCTAATCAGGCATTTTTTGTGTAACCCTATGAAATATATATAATTAGTAATATTACAGAATATGTAAACTCATTTAAACTTTTATAATGGTGATATAAATTTAATGGAGATTAATGAATCTAATGGAGACATATTTTATAGAGCTCCGAACAGGTCAGCCAAATTCAGGTAACCTGACCTGACCTGACCTGAAATTCAGGTCAGGTATGAGATTTTTAAAAAAAATTCAGGTCAGGTATGAAGATTGACCTGACC